GAGTCCTGGTGGAGGTATATTGACAGCAGCTCTCTTACCTCTCTAACAAAGTACTGGCAGAAGGCTGGAGCGATCCATTCTCTGGCATGTATTCCACAGTCCATCCAGATAGCTTTCTTTTCCTTTCCAGTATTCAGGCCAATCTGGAGAACAAATATCAAACATACATGTGCATCAGTATCCGTTTGGCATATGCCAGCTTGTGATCTGAAACTTTGTTTACCTTGAGCAAGCTAATATCCCTGCTTTCATAGGTCTTTCCATAATTCACCACGGTTACAACATCAGGGTGATCCATTACCATCTGTTCCATCCAGCTAGTGATCTGTAAAATGGAGTACCAACATTGGCAGCATATCAAAACTCTACTAAATTTTCACTGGTTATTTATCCATGAATTTGCACATCCATCATACATACATTTTGATTCAAGAGTTTATTTGAAACTTTTGGAGTGATCTTGACTAATAGTTCTGCAGACTTTCCAAAGGTCTTTCAAAGTTTCATTTGGACGATGGTTTCTTTTTTTACTCATTTTCAGTCTAAGCCACTATAAATTATTCAAGTATAACAAGACGCCTAACTCAAAGGGTAAACCAGTGTTGCATCTCTAGAATAAAAAAATTAGCAAAGAACCAGTTTTAAACTAAACTTATGGAATGCTGAAGCCAAATAGTCATCAATCTATACAGAGTAGGTCAAGAGAGAGATACAACAGTCCTGGACTGTCTGAAAAATGTGAAGGAGCCTCTGTTGTGGTTTGGAGTTGTATTTCAGCCAGTGTTATTGGTGATCTTGTCAGATTTGAATGAACATCTAAATGCAGAAAAGTACCATCAGAAAATTTATTTTTCAGCCCCCAAATAATTCCGAACACAGTGCCAATGCAGTCAAGCATACCTGGATAGACAAATACACAATAGAACACTATCAGTCATGGACTAGTGTCCGCAGACCCTGAAATTGAAACTTATATAAGCAGTGTGGAATCATCTTGATGGAATAAAAGACAACCAACATCCAAAGAAGAGCTTTAAATGTCTTTGGTGAAGCCTGGAGAACACACAGAAGCCTGTTTGTGTTTGTATATGCCATTTAGGAAGTTATTATAATCTTGAATATATTGAATGAAAGTCTGAATATATTGAATGGCGCCATCTTGTGTTTTAGATGTGTAATATTATAGCATGCGATGTTGCTTCAAGAAGTAGCTCTGTGAATAAGTTAGCAGGGAATCAGTATTCCTATGTAAAGAAGACATAAATCTATAGAAATGCTTGTAATGTACAAGCTAATATGAGTAACAGGGTACAGTATGGTACTGCATACGACAAAGTTTAGGTGCTGTTTAATCATGGAAGACCGAATGTACTGAACCTTTTGTTTACCTTACTGAGGGAAGTGCTAAACATGCAAAAATAAGAACTAAAAAATAAGAATGTAAAGGAGGGTCCAGCCGTTGAGCAGGCTAGGTCTGGCCAAAGTTAAGAGAATTCATGGGGTCTGTGTATTGCAGTCAATATTTTCAGTACCTTTAATTAGTTATAGGTACTGGGAATAAATCTGTACATCTGAAGAATATACTGATTTATTGACTAAGTTTCATCACCAGTAGTACAACAGTGATCGTTGTTATTACTATTCTTATTCTTATTCTTATTCTTATTATTGTTATTTGAACGGGGCACATAACATGCTATAATACACAACTAAAACACAGCGTGGCACCAGAGCCTCTGTAGTTAGCTTTTATTCAATATATT